TCTGCTCAGACCGCCATGACAAAGTCCTACAACCCAGGTGGCTGAAACTACAGAAGTTGATTCTCCCACAGTCCTGGAGGCTGGAGGTCTGAGATCCAGGTGTGGGCAGGGCTGGCTCCTCCTGAGGCCTCTCTCCTGGGCTTGCAGACACCGTGTTCTCCCTGTGTCCTCACAGGGTCGTCCCTCTGTGTGTGTCTGTGTCCTCACCTCCTACTCTTATAAGGACCCCAGTCCTGTAGGATCAGGGTCCGCCCTAGTGACCTTATTTTACCTACGGTAGTACTGCCTGACCCAAGGATTTGCTTTACACAGTTTCAGTCTGAAAACGTCAAGTGGTGAATTTGAGAAGTAAACAATGCATAAATTCAGCCAGCTGTGGAATCCCTGCACTTTGGGAGGCCGAGGCAGGTGGATCACGGAGGTCAGGAGATCGAGACCATCCTCACTCACACGGTGAAACCCCGTCTCTACTAAAAACACAAAAATCAGCCCATCGTGGTGCCGCGCACCTGTAATCCCAGGTGCTCGGGAGGCAGGAGAATCGCCAGGACCCGGAAGGTGCGGTGAGCCGAGATCGCGCCACTGTACTCCAGCCTGGGCAATGGACTGAGACTCCGTCTCAAAAAAAAATAAAAAGAAAAAGAAGAGGGAAATTTGGACACAGGCACCCAGAGGGGAGAAGGCCAGGCAGAGAAGCAGGCACAGACAGAAAGCATGGGGCAGTGACCCAAGCGACACCAAGGCCTGCCAGTGGCCACCTGGATATGGACAGAGACCAAGCCCAGATTCTCCGTCAGAACCTCTGGAAGGACCCCACCCCACAGACAACTTCATTTGTGCCTTTTTGGCCTCCAGAGTGTGGAGCTTCCTGTGGGTCTTTTTTTTTTCTGACATGGGGTTTGTCTCTTGTTGCCCAGGCTGGAGTGCAACGGTGAGATCTCGGCTCACTGTGACCTCCACCTCCCGGGTTCAAGTGATTCTCCCGCCTCAGCCTCCTGGGTAGCTGGGATTACAGGTGCCCGCCAGTACACCCGGGTAATTTTTGTATTTTTAGTAGAGATGGGGTTTTACCATGTTGGTCAGGCTGGTCTCGATCTCCTGACCTCAGGTGATCCGCCTGCCTCGTCCTCCCAAAGTTCAAGTGATTTTCTTGCCTCAGCCTCCCAAGTAGCTGGGATATTGCAGGCAGGTGCCATCACGCATGGCTAATTTGTGTATTTTTAGTTAGACCCAGGGTTTCACCATGTTGGCCAGGCTGGTCTCGATCTCCTGACCTCAGTGATCCGCCCACTTCGGCCTCCCAAAGTGCTGGGACGACAGGCGTGAGCTGCCGTTCCTGGCCGCTTCCTGTGCCTTCAGGCCTCCCATTTGGTGTTACTTCGTGATGGTAGTTTCTGGAAGTCAGTCCACGCCTTCCCTCTGCCTCCCAGTTTTATCCTGGTGGCTCGTCACCAGGAGGCATTGCCGGCGTCCCTCAAAGGACCTGCTGTCTTCACAGGGACCAGAACAGACCAAATCCCCAGGCACGTGAACAGCAAATGGAACGTTAGAAAACAGAGACCCTGAATGCGCTCACCACGATCGTGTCTGCTCCGATGACCACGTCCGGGGCTCGCAGGTCTTTCTGCAAGAAAGCCAGACTTCCATTTATTTATTTATTTATTTATCTATCCCTGGGTCTTTCTGCAAGAAAGCCAGACTTCCATTTGTTTATTTATCTGTGTATGCGAAGGTCTTCCTGCAAGGAAGTCAGACTTCAATCTATTTATCTATTTATTTATCCATCACCAGGTCTTTCTGCAAGAAAGCCAGACTTCCATTTATTTATCCATCCCCAGCTCTATCTGCAAGAAAAGCAGACTTTGATTTATCTATTTATTTATATATCTCCGGGTCTTTCTGCAAGAAAGCCAGACTTCGAGTTAATTATTTATCCCCAGGTCTTTCTGTAAGAAAGCCAGACTTTGATTTATTTATCTATTTATTTACCCATCCCAAGGTCTTTCTGCAAGAAAGGCAGACTTTGATTTATTTATCTATTTATTTGCCTATTTATTTATTTACCTCCAGGTCTTTCGGCAAGAAAGCCAGACTTCGATTTATTTACCTATCTATCTGCAGGTCTTTCTGCAAGAAAGTGAGACATCTATGTATTTATTTATCTATCTATTTGGGACAGAGTCTCACTCTGTCACGCAGGCTGGAGTGCAGTGGCGTGATCTCGGCTCACTGCAACCTCCGCCTCCTGGGTTCAAGCGACTCTCCTGCCTCCTGAGCAGCTGGGATCACAGGCGTGTGCTACCACGCCCCGCTAATTTTTTGTATTTTTAGTACAGACAGGCTTTCACCATGTTGGCCGGGCTGGTCTCAATCCCTTGACCTCGCGATCTGCCCGCCTCGGCCTCCCAAAGTCCTGGGATGATTACAGGCGTGAGCCACCTGGCAGAGTCCATTTCGTAGTGACTCACCACGGGTCTCGCAGAGAGGTTTACCCGACAGTGTGGCTGCGAAACAGCAGCACGGGGCAAAGCCAGGCTGACCTCGGAAGGTGAGGCTGGGATGCCTCAGGGCCAAGAGCAAGCACACGAGTGGGTCCCCCAGGGGTCCCCGGCAGGGGCTGGAACGTGGATGAGGCTGGAGCCCGCAGGGGCTGTGCGGTCAGGGCTGAGAGAGTCGAGGGGAATCTCACAGGCGCCATGGGAAACGCAAGACTTGTTCTATAAGCTTTTCTTCTTTTAGGGGGGCAGGGCAGGTTCCACTTGGGGTTGATTTGGGGTCCCCGCATCTCCCTGAGTGACCTTGCATTAAGGCCAAAAGGTTTTTTTTTCTTGTTGTAGTTTTTGTTTTTGTTTTGAGACAAAGTCTCACTCTTGTCCCCGAGGCTGGAGTGCGGTGGCCCAATCTCGGCTCACTGCGACCTCCGCCTCCCGGGTTCAGGCCATTCTCCTGCCTCAAGCTCCCAAGTAGCTGGAACCGCAGGTGCCCACCACCTCGCCCGGCTAAGTTTTGTATGTTTAGTAGACATGGGGTTTCATCACATTGCTCAGGCTGGTCTGGAACTCCCGACGTGATCCACCCGCCTCGGCCTCCCAAAGCGCTGGGATGACAGAGCTGAGCCACCGCGCCTGGCCAAGGCCAAAAACTTTTCAAGCGGTTCAATGTAATCTCAGAAAAAGGGACTCAGGGCCATGCGCGGCGGCTCATGCCTGCAATCCCAGCGCTTTTGGAGGCCGAGGTAGGAGGGTCACCTGAGGTCAGGCATTCCAGACCAACCTGGCCAACATGATGAAACCCTGTCTCTGCCAAGCCTGCAAAACATTAGTCAGGCACCTGTAATCTCAGCGACTCGGGAGGCTGAGGCACAAGAACCTCTTGAACCCAGAAGGTGGAGGTTGCAGTGAGCCGAGACGGTGCCACTGCTCTCCAGCATGGGCGACAGAGCGAGACTGAAAAAAAGAACCAAAGAAAGAGAAGGAAAAAGGTATTTAGGGCAATGAAACAAATCCAGGTTGACAATTCAGCCTCGGAGCTGCGTGTGCTCACGGGATATGTGCATGTCACCGTGACCTTGGCTGCCTGACCACTGGCTTCCCTGAGCTCTGCACTGCCAAAACCCACAATCAATATTCTCGTTATTCATAGCAGTGCTCGCCACAGCATTACCTTCAATGCATTTCTTTTTCCTTTTTTTTTTTTTGAGATGGAGTCTCACTCTGTGGCCCAGGCTGGAGTGCAGTGGCATGATCTCAGCTCACTGGAACCTCCGCCTCCCGGGATCAAGTGACTCTCCTGCCTCAGCCTCCCGAGTAGCTGGGATTACAGGCGTGCGCCACCATGCCCTGCTAATTTTTGTATTTTTAGTAGAGACAGAGTTTGACCATGTTGGCCAGGCTGGTCTTGAACTCCTGACCTTGTGATCTACCCACCTCGGCCTCTCAAAGTGCTAGGATTACAGGCGTGAGCCACTGTGCCCGGCCTGCTATGGTAATTTTATATATTATAACCGATAGTATAGTAAATGCAGTATTATATTACATAACATAATAATCGATAAGACACGTTAATTCTATATTCTAAATGATACTTTTAGGTTCACTGTAACAGTGTGTTATGATGTTAATTACATTAACTATGTTAATACATTGTAACCGATATTATTGTTCTTGTTGTTAATTTTATTTTTTTTCTTTGAGACGGAGTCCAGGCTGGAGTGCAGTGGTGTGATCTCAGCTCACTGCAACCTCCACCTCCTGGGTTCAAGCGATTCTCCTGCCTCAGCCTACCAAGTAGGTGGTATTACAGGTGTGCGCCACCACACCCGGCTAATTTTTGTATTTTTAGTAGAGACGGGGTTTCACCATGCTGGTCAGTCTGGTCGCAAACTCCTGACCTGTGATCCGCCCGCTTCGGCCTCCCAAAGCGCTGGGATTACAGGTGTGAGCCACCGTGCCTGGCCTGTATTTCTTATATTTACTGCAGTGGTGTATTGTATGGTAACCCACAGCCACGGCTAAGCTACATTAACTCTCTGCCCTCAATGACAACGTGAGGTTCATTTTAACAGCGTGTTATGACACATAGTGACAGCTACGATAATTTTATATATTGTGCACGATAATATATTAATTGCAGTTGTCTGTTACATAACATATAGTAATCCATAAGCTACATTTAATTCTATATCCTAAATGATACTGACAGCTTCATTGTCACAGTGTGTTAGAACACACAGTAATAGCTATGTTAATGGGATATGTTGTAACTGGTATTATTATTTTTTTTTTTAATTTTTTAGACGGAATCCAGGCTAGAGTGCAATGGCTCAATTTTGGCTCACTGCAATCTCTGCATCAGGGTTCAAGGTATTCTTATGCCTCAGTCTCCCAAGTAGCTGGAATTACAGACACACGCCACCACACCTAGCTAACTTTTTGTATCTTTAGTAGAGACGGGGTTTCACCAAGTTGGCCAGGCTGGTCTCGAACTCCTGACCCTCGTGATCCACCTGCCTTGGCCTCCCAAAGTGCTGGGATTACAGGCGTGAGCCACCGTGCCCGCCCTGTAACTGATACTATAATAATTGCAGTCATATATTACACAACATATGGTAATCGATAAGCTACATTAATTCTATATCCTAAGTGACAGTCGTGTGTTAATTATAATAACATATTGTGGCTTAATGTTTGTAATCCTAGCACTTTGGGAGGCCGGGGTGGGCGGATCGCCTGAGGTCAGGACTTGGAGACCACCCTGCCCAACAGGGAGAAGCCCCATCTCTACTGAAATAACAGTTTCTTACGTAACAGCATATAGTGACAGATAAGTGACATACCTGTATATTCCGATACTATTACTTTAACCGTCATAGGCTATTACACAGCATCACACAGTAACGGACATTAACTCCCTACACTAAATGATACTATGTTCGCTGCAGTGTCGCACAACACAGAGTAACAGACGTGTTAATTCTATAACCTAACTGGTATTACCATATTAACTGCAGTATGACATTCCTAACATAGTAACAGATACGCTACATGAACCTTAACTCCTAAATGACAGTTGTACATTAATTATAATTGTATATTGCATTGTAATACAGTAACAGATAAACTACATATTATATGTGTATGTATTCTATATATTCTGTCTCAAAATATATATATTTATTTTATATATTTATTTATATTACATATATTATTTAGATTATATATGTATCTCATATATTTCACACCTGCAAAATAGATTTATTTTGAGACAGAGTCTTATTGTGTCACCCAGGCTGCAGTGCAGTGGCACGATCTAAGCTCACTGCAACCTCCACCTCCCAGGTTCAAGCCATTCTCCTGCTTTGGCCTTCTAAGTATGTGGGATTACAGGCGCCCACTACCTCACCCGGCTAATTTTTCTATTTGTGGTAGAGATGGGGTTTCACCATCTTGGCCAGGCTGGTCTTGAACTCCTGACCTCATGATCCACCCACCTCGGCCTCCCAAAGTGCTGGGATTACAGGCATGAGCCACTGCGCCGGGCCATAATTCTATATTATAAATGATAATGTTACATTAATTGCCATCATATATTACACAGTGGGACAGGAATAATACTATTATATTAATTGCATTAACATAATATTATGTATTATTAATATAATGTACCATATGTTATTATCAATATAGTAATATTATATGGTACATTAATTATATACCACGAATCACACTATATTAATTGCAAGAGAATATTATAACACATAGTAATAGATAAGCTATATTAATTGTATATCATAAATGATACTATTATATTAATCATAAGAGAATATTCTTTTTTTTAGTTTTTGGAGGTGGAGTCTCACTCTGTCACCCAGGCTGCAGGGCAGTGGCATGATTGTGACTCACCGCAATTTCTGTCTCCCAGGTTCACGCAATTCTCCTGCCTCAGCCTCCTGAGTACCCAGCATTACAGGCACCCACCACCATGCCCAGCTAATTTTTGTATTTTTAGTACAGACGGGGTTTCACCATGTTGGCCACGCTGGTCTTGAACTCCCGGCCTCAGGTGATCTGCCCACCTCAGTCTCCCAAAGTGCTGGGATTCCAGGTGTGAGCCACGGCACTTGGCAGGAGGTGAACATTACAACACGTAGTCATAGGTAAGGTCCAGTGATTCTACACCATAAATGATGCTAATCTATCAGTTGCAGGAGAATATCATGACACATAGTCATACATAAGCTCCATTAATTCTATGACATAAATAATACTACTGGGCACAGTGCCTCACACATGTAATCCTAGCACTTTGGGAGGCCGAGGCGGGCAGATCACAAGGTCAGGAGCTCGAGACCAACCTGGCCAACATGATGAAACCGCGTGTCTGCTAAAAACACAAAAATTAGCCAGGTCTGGTGACACACACCTGTCATCCCAGCTACTCAGGAGGCTGAGGCAAGAGAATTGCTTGAACCTGGGAGGCGGAGGTTGCAGTGAGCTGAGATCGTGCCATTGTACTCCAGCCTGGGCAACAAAGTGAGACTCCATCTCAAAAAAAAAAAAAAAAAAAAAAAAAAAGATACTGTTATGTCAATTGCAAGAGAATATTATAATACATAGCAATAGATAAGCTCCATTAATTCTATATCATAAATGATGTTATTTTATGTCAATGGCAAGAGAATGTTATAACATATACTCATATACAAGCTACGTTAATTCTATATGATAAATTATGCTATTCTATCAATTGCAAGAGATTATTATAACACATAGCAATAGATCAGCTCCGTTAATTCTATGTCCTAAATGATACTATTAGGTTACTTGTAATAAGCCATGACATTATAACGTAGTAACAGCTAGGCTGTGGCACCAATTGCATCTCATAAATGACATTTATCTGTATCATATATATTTAACACCTGCAAATCCCCTTGTTATAGAAAGTAAATTTCTTTTTTTTTTTTTGAGGCAGAGTCTCGCTCTATTGCCCAGGCTAGAGTCCAGAGGCATGATCTCTGCTCACTGCAATATCCACCTCCTGGGTTCAAGCAATTCTCCTGCCTCAGCCTCCTGAGTAGCTCAGATTACAGGTGCGCCCGCTACCATGCCTGGCTAATTTTTGTATTTTTAGCAGAGACAGGGTTTCACCATTTTGGCCAGGCTGGTCTCAAACTCCTGACCTTGTGACCCACCCCTTCAGCCTCCCAAAATGCTGGAACTACAGGCACGCACCGCCACGCCTGGCTAATTTTTGTATTTGTAGTAGAGACGGGGCTTCACCATCTTGGCCAGGCTGGTCTTGAACTCTGACCTCATGATGCACCGGCCTCGGCTTCGCGAAGTGCTGGGATTACAGGCGTGAGCCAGCGCGCCCGGCCTGGCAAAGGAAGTGTCATGAGGGCGGAAGGGCAGGGCCCCCTTGCCTGGTGCATGCGGTGGGCCACTTCCAGAGCCTTCTGCTTGGCGGTCTCCATGGCGTACCCATAAGGCGTTGCGAAGGCGGCTTTGTCCAGCTTCTCTTTGAACCTGGAGGGGATCACCTCAAACCGCAGACCCTGCAACAGAAGAAAGGGGTCAGGAGGGCTGACCAAAGACCCGAGAAGACAGAACAGAAGGTGCAAGCTTAGCAGGACGTGGCGTTGGCTACGCTCCCAGGTCCTCTCCTGGGTGACCTCAGCCATCTGCTGAGCTTTCCCTAAGTGTGGCTGCGGGGCCTTTGGGGTCTGGCCAGGGGCCTTTCGGGACTGACAAGGGGTCTTTCTGGCTCTCAAGGGAAAAGGCTGGCAAAGGAAAAAGGCAGGAACAGAGAGGCCGGCAGGGAATGCTGACACGGGCCCTGAACCCACAAGCCAGACTTGTCAGAGGGTTCCTGGAGCCTGGAAGTTTGGGGCAGTCAAGTAAGACCATCCCGTGCATAGAAAATTCCAGAAACATGCCAGTGATGGCGGCTGCGGGAGGGGAGTGAAGGCCAGCACTAGGTCAATCCCCTGTATGCAGGAACAGACAACACCGGCTGCAGGGAGACCTGGCCTGGAGGCAGTGACCCCCGCAGAGGCTGTGGGGTCAGGAATGATGGTGGTTACTGCCCCCAGTGCGGGTGGCCCTGGCTGCCACGCCCTGCCAGGATTCAGGGAACTGGGCATCCTGCCTCTGACCGAGCAGGAGCACGGCCATGTTGGACACACGCAACCATGCTGGACACACAGCGCCATCTTGGACACTCAGTGCCATCTTGGACACATGCCAACCATGCTGGACACACAGCCCCATCTTGGATACACTCAGTGCCATCTTGGACACATGCCACCATCTTGGATACACGCTTCCATGTTGGACACATAGCACCATCTTGGACACTCAGTGCCATCTTAGACACACGCACCCATGTTGGACACATAGCACCATCTTGGACACTCAGTGCCATCTGGGACACACGCACCCATGTTGGACACACAGCGCCATCTTGGACGTAAGCCACCATCTTGGACACACACCACCATTTTGGACACACGGTACCATCGTGGACATATGCTGCCATCTTGGACACACACCACCATCTTGGACACACGGCGCCATCTTGAACACGGACCGCCATTTTAAGTTCTCTTGATTAAAAACCACCTAAAACCCAGCCCAAAAATGTCAGCCTAATGGCTGATGTCAGCATGATCAGAAACATTCCAGCTCTGTGATAAACGTCCTCTGACCAGAAACACACCAACCCCAAGATAACGTCCCTTCCAACCAGAGACATGGCAACCCCCAATAAACTTTCTCTCACACAGAAACATTCCGAGCCTGTGATAAGTTCCCCCTTCCTAAACCCTTAAGCACCCTGAGTCTGCAGGAGAGAACACTCCTGACTTAACCCTACCAGAAGCCCCGCTCAGGTTTATCCTGCAAAATAAACCTGTCGTTGACAGTGAGCCACTTTTCTTGTTTCCCTCCTCTTTCTTTAACTCTTACATTTGGTGCCAAAACCTGGGACAGGTGTTGGGCACAGAGGCTCTCTTGCAACCCAGCAGCAGTGGGTGGCAGCAGACTTAGGTAGAGGAAATCTTGGGGATGCCAAGTTTCTTCTCAGCTTGACCATCCTCTTTTAAATTTTTTTTTTCTTTTTGAGATGGAGTTTCACTCTGTGGCCAGGCTGGAGTGCAGTGGCACGATCTCGGCTCACCACAACTGCCGCCTGCCGGGTTAAGGCGATTCTCCTGCCTCAGCCTCTTGAGTAGCTGGGATTACAGGTGCCCACCACCATGCCCGGCTAATTTTCATATTTTTAGTAGAGACGGGATTTCACTATGTTGGTCACACTGGACTCCATCTCTTGACTTCATGATCCACCCGCCTCGGCCTCCCAAAGTGTTGGGATTACAGGCATGAGCCACTGTACCTGGCCAACTGTCCTCTTTATAAAGAGGATTCTGGGTCTCTGTGTTTTGTCTGGGATGCTGAGAAAAACAGATCCACCCAGCAAACATGGGTGCCAAACAAGCCCACATTCTTACATCCTTCCCTCCAGGCTGTGTCCTCTACAGCCTTGCCAGACTTGGCTTTCAGGGGAGCCGAAAGCAAGGTGTTTAATTTGCTATTGCAACGTCACCTGGCCCCAGTGCAAACGCCATAATGACAGCCGATGGCGTAAAAACGGCACCTTTAACTTTCGAATTCTCAGGGACCTTGACAACTTTATCACCAGGCATGGCAAATGGCAAGAAGCTCCCTAGATTTGGGCTTTCTTGTACCCTCCCTATGTTAAAAGCGTGGACTCCTCATGACATCCTTCTTCCTTTTTTTTTTTTTTTTTTTTGCTTTTGAGATGGAGTTTGACCCTTGTCACCCAGGCTGGAATGCAGTGGCACGATCTCAGTTCACTGAAACGTCCGCCTCCCAGGTTCAAGCAATTCTCATGCCTCAGCTTCCTGAGTACCTGGGATTACTGGTGCCCGCCACCATGCCTGGCTAGTGTTTTTGGATTTTTAGTAAAGACGGGGTTTCACCAGGTTGGCCAGAATGAACTCAAACTCCTGACCCTGTCATCCACCCCCTCGGCCTCCCGAAGTGCCGGGATTGCAGGTGTGAGCCACCACGCCCGGTGACATCCTTCTTTTCTTTTTTTTGATACAGAGCCTCGCTTTGTCACCCAGGCGGGAGTGCAAAGGCATAATCTCAGCTCACTGCAACCTCCGCCTACCGGGTTCAAGCGATTCTCCTGCCTCGGCCTCCTGAGCAGCGGGGATGACAGGAGCTCACCACCACGCCCGGCTAATTATTTGTATTATTAGTAGAGATGGGGTTTCACCAAGTTGGCCAGACTGGTCTCGAACTCCTGACCTCATGATCCCCTCGCCCTGGCCTCCCAAAGTGCTGGGATGACAGGTGTGAGGCACCGCGCCCGGCCCCATCGTTTTTCTTAATGAAAACCGTCCACAGGTCTCTCATTCCTTGGAAGCCTCTTCCTCCCAAACCCCTTTGACCCTGCAGATAAACTCTCTCTGTACTGTCAACCCGCTGTGTCCGTTCCTCACCCTCCACCCCTCCTGCCCGCAAGCCGTTAGCCCCAAGCCTCGCCTCCCCCGTTTTCCATCCGACGGGAGTCCAAGCTCGCCTGCCCTTCTCCCGGTCTGAGAGGTGCCCCAGGCTGAAGGCAATGCTTGCTGCCTGCACATTCTCCAGGTCTGATTTATCACAGATCAAACAGCTCCTGAGATCGTCCTCTGAAAATCCCTCTCATTATCACAGGTAATTCCTGCACAAAACCCAATCCTTTAACGTCACTTGGCGTAACAGTTATGGAATTCTAACCTCTACCCTCAGCCATGCTTTAAAAAAAAAAAGAGCTCAGCTTCATTAAAACAGATATCCAAGCCATAAATATACTCAAAAGGACTTTACGTTTTTCTCTTCATAAACCTTTTTAGAGCAAGCGTGGTGGCTCATGCCTGTAATCCCAGTGCTTTGGGAGGCTGAGGTGGGTGGATCATGAGGTCTGGATTGACCAACATGGTGAAACCTCGTCTCTACTAAAACTACAGAAATTAGCAGGGTGTGCCGGCACATGCATGTGGTCCCAGCTACTCGGGAGGCTGAGGCAGGAGAATCGCTTGAACCCGGGAGGCAGAGGTTGCAGGGAGCCGAGATCACACCACTGCACTCCAGCCTGGGTGACAAAGTGACATGCCATCTAATAAATAAATAAACAAATGAAAAAGAAATCTGGTTTTCCTGGAAAGGTTTTTTGCTCATTCAAGTTCATTTCTTTTCTGCACTCTGCCCTGGCCCCCGCGGTGCGTGTATAAGAGACCCTAAGACAACTCCTCGTGGCCTGGGACCCCTTCAGAAACAGAAAAGGCGCCACGATTCCCATTTTGGGAAATATCTGTTTTCCTTATGAAACCCCTGGAATTAAAAATAAATAAGTGGTCAGGTGAGCTGGCTCATGCCTATAATCCCAGAACTTTTGGAGGCCGAGGCAGGTGGATCACCAGACGTCAGGAGTTCAAGACCTGCCTGCCCAACACGGTGAAACCCCATCTGTACTAAAAATACAAAAATTGGCTGGACGTGGTGGCGGGCGCCTGTAGTCCCAGGTACTCAGGAGGCAGGAGAGTCGCTTGAACCCGGGAGCGGAGGTTGCAGTGAGCCAAGATCATGCCATTGTACTCCAGCGTGGGTGACAGAGCAAGACTCCATCTCTACAAAAAAAAAAAAAAAAAAAACCAAAAGAAGAAAAAAAAAAATCTTCTAACTACTGAATTTTCTTCTGGTTATCTGCGTTGTTATGGGTGCCATGTCTATTAAAAGAGGTCTATGTAACTGGCCCACTCCCCCAAAAAAATAA